TGGGGGTTCGGCTTGGCCGGCGCGTCCCGGCAGGCACCGGGGGGCGGGGCGAGCTCCCTCTCTGAACCGCGGAGCAGCTGAGGCCGCCGGCACGCCTTCTTCCCTCCCTCCTCCCGCCCCCTGGACCGGAAGTAGGCGTTCACGGCGGGAGCGAGGAGACCCAGCCTGCCGGGTACTCTCGCCCGCGGCCGACTGGGGTGCCTGCGCGCACGTGTCAAGGGGTGTGGTTATGGTACGGGGGGCAGAGGAAAACCCTGGCGGAGGGCTCTTGAATAAATGATTAGTTTCCGTTCGTAAACGTAATTACAACCTGTGTGACACTCCTGCCGGATTTCGGGGCAGCGGGCTGGGACCCGAGCGGTGGGGAAGGGAAGGCAGCTGCAGTTGGATTGCGCCGCTGACCCGGAGGTGGTCGGCAAACCCCTCCTAGCGACGGAAGGACCTGGGGACGGCCACCGTGCGCCGGGTGTGCCAGGAAGACGCGCGTGCACGGGAATCCCCAGTACTCGCAGCACTGGCAGGGGCACCTCCAAATCCCCCTACGTTCACAAGCGGACTTATCCTTCTCCTCCACCGCGTGCCCCCGGCTCCGCGGAGCTTAAAGTCGGCCTTGGGGGGACATCAATGCAATGGTCCTTTCGGGCGACCCCGGGGATCTGGGACAGAGGTGACCCTTTTCAAGTGGGGCGTGAGGAGCCGACCTCGGACGCGGCCAGCCTGCGCCCCCGGATTGCCTTGCAGGGGATCGGGGACACTGCCAGCTCCCATCCATAGCCCAGGGCCCGTCGGCTACTCGTCCGGCGGGGTTGGGTCGCTGTGCAGCGGCGGAGTGGAGCAGGGCCCAGCGGTTCCAGCTTCCAGCATGTGGCTAGCCTGCTGGCGCCCGCCCGGACGCACCTGGAGTCACCTTGCACCCTGAATGACCGCGCCCGGCCATCAGTTGATAGAATATATTTTTCAGAACCTTTCCCGCCCCCATCATGTTTTACACCGCTCTCCGCACGTGCGGAGGATACAACCACCGAAAATCAAATCTGAGCTGTGCCCTCGGACCCGAGTGCTTCGCTGAGAGGCATCTGTGGTCTTTACCCGTCCCCCGAAACCGGCGGTGGCCAAGCAACTAGATGAGTGGGCGCTGGGTAAAATCTGGCAGGATTTCCGCTAGTCCGATGGAGAACTACATATCCCAAGAAGCCCGTGGCGCCCCGACGCGTGTCCACTCCACCGTCCACTTGGAGAAGGTCTTACTAAGCCTGGCCCCGACGCCAGGGCCAATCGCCTGGGCTTCACCTTGGTCTGGACCCTGAGGCGGACTCCCCCACAGATGATGCTCCAGCTGTAGCGCTCACCAAAGTTGAACTGTCCGACAGAAAAAGGAGCGTCGTGGTTCTGGTCCCTTTCAGCCAGACGACGGCCATCCTTCACCTGAGCATGTCAGCCCTCTGCTTGTGATTTTCCTGGAGGAGAGTGGAAATCGGATTGCCTGCTTTGCACCTTAAGCGACACCTTTTGGAGCCCTGTTTGCTGCGCTGCTTGGCGTTGACCCTGTCCTAGCCGCGGTTGGTCCTGCCTGCATCTTATGTTTCTTTATCTGTAAATCATTTCGACAGTCCGTGTTGTAAATGTGTGGCATTTTGCTGCTTTACTGCTTCTTTCTGGGAAAAAGTCCAGCACTGGCTGATACCGGCGGAGAGAAGCGACTGAGCCCTGAGAAGAGTGAAATATGGGGACCTGGGCTGAAAGCGGATGTCGTGCTTCCAGCCCGCTATTTCTACATCCAGGCAGTGGATGCATCAGGCAATACGTAAGTCGAGAAATGGCATCCTAGGTATTTTGGTTAGCAGTAAAACATTAAAAAGATGAATATTTCTGCTCAAGAATTCCTTTCTCCACAACGGTTTAAATTCTGGGGTATGTGGGTACTTGGTCCACATCTGATTGTGCCAGACTCTTCCATCCAAATTTTCATGCTAACTGTAGAATTAATTCATAGATAGTTTTCCCCTTAACTACTTTTTATGGAGATGCCGGCATTATTAGGGGAAAGATAGAGCCCGTTTATTTTGCTGAAAATATCAGTGCTGTTTCTAACTACTTTTCGCATAAACTAATAGGGCATTTTAATCCAATGGTTAGATATGGTGGACAATCTGACTCTGGTGCTGCCACTAAAGCACTGTCTGAAACTAAGAGCTTAAAGAGAAAGCCACAAGATGTCATTCTAACAAGTTGAATCCTATCTTAAGATTGGTTTTTTTGTAAGTCACACCTGAAATGATTGCCTTTTTATTGAAGAATTTTGACCATGTGTATTTGGTACAAACCAATCTTAGATATAAAATGTGTAAATCTTGTCACCTGGGGACACTAAATGATATATTAATAGGAAGAGGACTCCAGTCAGCCAACAAAACACTGATACAGTATGAGTATAATAACAATTTACCTAGGCTGCCCTGGTGATGCAGTGGGTTACAATTGGGCTGCTAACCTCAAGGTTGGTAGTTCAAACCCAGCAGCCACTCCCATCAGCTGCTCTTTGAGAGATGAGGTACAGATGAGGTTCTGTACCGCTGTAAAGGTTTACAGTCTTGGAAACCCACAGAGGCTTATGAATTGGAGTCAACTCAATGACAGTGAGTAATGTTTTTTGTTAGATTTTGGTTTTGATTTTTTGCCCATTTCCGAAGCTGAGCACAACGTATTGGATTTTAAAGAATAATTTCATTAAATTTTTCAAAAGATCGTTATCTTCAGAAGCAAGTTTGGGTTGCAAGCCACAAGTTCTTCAATTTAGGCCTACCAGCTACCCCAGGGGAGAAAGATAAGACTATATGTTTGGGTGAAGATTTAATAGTCTTGGTAACCCTAAATTTAGAAATACTGGTATGTTTTCCATAAGGGTTTTTTATGTCAAATGTGTAGGGTTATAAGGGGAATAGACTCCACGACAATAGTCTAGTTTTGTTTTTGGATTTCAGACATGATATGTTTCCTACAGGGAGAGTCATGGAATCAAGAGGTTGGTAATAGCTATTTTAATATAGAGAAAGTATAAGTAAGTTTTACACGTACATAGATTATTAAGCTAACATAATCCCTTGTGATTTTCTGATGAAAATATCTGTCATCTTGACCGTTTTCTCTTTTTTTGAAATAGTTATAATATTCTGTTATCAAAAGCTTAAGAGAGAAGAAATAAGCACATGGTTGGAGGAGAATCGTAAAATTATCAAACTAGAGGATATAATCATTTTGAGTTTATTCCTTACTATATATTTTATCACTCCCCATCACAGATTCACATCTTCCCCAGGTGAAGAGGTGTTCCAGGTTAAAATCTCAGCACCCGATGAGCAATTCACTAGAGTTGGAGTCCAGGTTTTAGACCGAAAGGATGGATCCTTCATAGTAAGATACAGAATGTATGCAAGCTACAAAAATCTGAAGATAGAAGTTAAATTTCAAGGTCAACATGTAGCCAAATCTCCATATATTCTAAAAGGTAAATTGGAGCATCAGTTTAAAGCAACAGTATTTAAAACAATGAGATATTATATCTACCAACATTAATTTAGCATTTTGTTTTGTTTTTCCCACTGAGTGAAATAAATAGAAGTTCTTTATTTTAAAAAATAGAAGTTCTTTATTTAAACTAAATTAAGAGTCTAGGAAAAAGAGAGAAAGTGAAGATTTGAACAGAAATTATTAGGAGAGAGGTGAGTACATATTAATAGAAATTTTTTTCCTTAGGATAAATAATGAGAGTAATCAAGCTGTATGTGTTCATGTGCAACACTTTTACTGCAGATGCACCTTAGACACTTGTGTGCCAGTAGGTGTTATTGAAATTTGGTAGATGGCTATAGGAATGGAGAGGGATTAATTCAGGACAGGTGAAGAGTTGGTTGTTGTTTGTGCCAATGCCATTTTTCCAGAGAATTCTCTTATGTTTCCTTTAACCAGCATGACAGTGTAGCTTTGTTACCTAGAAGCATATCCTCAAATAGTATAAATAGAAGGGCACACATTTTTTTCTGTCCCTCCTTTCCCCTTTCCCTCCACACAAGAAAGACAAATGTTTTTTTTTAAGATTTGATTTATTTTTACTACAGTCCATGGGGATCACATGATAGAGTATATATAATCAACTAAATCTGAAAAAGATACTCCGTTTTCAACTACAACTTAAATCATATGGGAATCTCTAAATTACAGAAAGAATTCAGAGCGTGCTGTATTAGTATTATTTCTATAAGCATAGAATTAATTTATTAGAACAGTAATGAAATGGCCTCTATTGAAGGCTGCCTTTTTCTTTGTAACTCTTTTATTTAAATGCCAAACATATTATTTGTTATGTTTCAAATTAATGATAACTTACACTTAAGAAAATAACCTTAGACATTTTAAGAACCTTTCTGTAACGAGACCATTGAAATACTAATTTCAAATCATTTTTGTCTTTCATTAAAAACAAGTTTACTTCTCTGGCATCCTGTATCCTTTAACCAATGTTTTATTGGTCCTGTGCACTTAAATTATTTGAACTAATATTGAAACATAATATCCACTGAAGAGCAAAAATAGCTACCTGTTAGCTTTCTTTTAAAGGTATCATGGCAACACAGTGGTTAAATCACTCCGTGCCAAATGAAAGGTGGGAGTTCAAACTCACCAGCCAGCTCTGCAGGAGCAGGTGTGGCAGTTGGCTTATGGGGAAACTGGACTCCGCTTGATGGGGTCTCTGTAAGTCATCAGGGACTTGACAGCACTGGGTTTCTTGTAAGCTCATGCAAAGTGGGCCTAATTAGGAAAATCGCAGAAGGCTTCCCTGAGAAGATTTGTCAAGAGTAAAGGCATAATTTACTAGAGTTGCCTCAATGTAATGGAAATGTGGGTTTTAAAAATACTTTTAAAATCAAAATGCTCTTTCTATTTAAGTAATTAGGGAAAAATCTGTGAGTCCATATGAGAGACATTTGTTGGGTATTTCAAATGCTGAGGAAATTATTACTGTTATACATTATGACTTGTATGTAATCAGGACCAGTTTACCATGAGAATTGTGACTGCCCGTTGGAAGACAGTGCAGCCTGGCTACAGGAGATGAACTGCCCAGAAACCATCACTCAGATTCAGAGAGATCTGGCACATTTTCCAACCGTTGACCCAGATAAGATTGCAGCAGAAATCCCAAAAAGATTTGGACAGAGACAAAGCTTGTGTCACTACACCTTGAAGGATAACAAGGTACAGTGCATGACTGAGGGATTTGTTTGTATTGGATTTTTTTTTTTGAGCATTTGGATATAAATGATTAAGTCCTTTATTAAAAACCACCCTATTGAGGATCATCGTGACAAACTTTTCTTCAGAGAAGTCTGTCAGTACTTTAACAAATGAACATTCTCTTTTAGGTTTACATCAAGACTCATGGTGAGCACGTGGGTTTTCGAATTTTCATGGATGCCATCCTGCTTTCTTTGACTAGAAAGGTTTGTAGATGTTTCCTCTTTGCTATAATATATAACTTCAGCCAAAGTTTTTTAATATAATTTGTCAAAAATTAAAATAATCATAATATAAATGGTTTTCTATTGTGGGGTCTTATTAGAATTCTGTTCTGAAGTTTTGTATCATTTAGGGTACATTTTAGAGGAAAATAACAAATAATAAAATCATTTTCGTACCAAACATACTTTGAGTCCAGAGAAGATTTGCTGTGTATTAAATCCTGTTTCTTTGTATATTGTACTTTAGTAGAGTTTCGGTGGTATTTTTTAAATGACTTAAAATAAAAAAACTATATTCTTAGCAATTATTTGATAGCTACTTATTGTATAATCGGTGTACATATCTTGATTGAATTATTCTTTAAAGAGAATAGTTCCCTCTGACAGTTGCAAGACATTTTCAGTCCATGAATTCTGAATGTGGTAGCTATATAGCATCAATGACTATACTCCCTTAAATATGGCAACTCAGTGTAAAGAAAATAAAAATCCTTAAAACGGGAGCATTAGACAGCATTGTGATAAATGGAGAAAAATTTGAATTTGTCAAAGACCCACAATTAATGCTTATGGAAGCAGCGGTCAAGAACGCAAATGATGTATTGGACAAATCTGTTTCACAAGACCTCTTTGAAATGTTAAAGAGCAAAGAAGTCACTTTGAGGAATTAGGTGCATGTGACCCACGCCATGATATTTTCAGTTGCTTTATATGTATGTGAAAGTTAGACACAAGGAAGACAAAAGAATTGAATTATGGTATAATAAATAATACTGAAATTACCCTGGACTTCCAGAAGAACAAACAAATATCTGTCTTGGAAGAAGGAGAGCCAGAGTGCTCCTGGGAGGGAGGATGGAGAGACTTCGTCTCAAGAACTTGGGACGTGTCACCAGGAGAGACCAGTGCCTGGAAAAGGCCCTGATGCTTGGTGAAACAGAGGGTCAGCGAGGAAGAGGAAGATGCTTCTTGAGATCTGGACAGTGGCTGCAACATAACAGAAGCTGTGGGCTCAAAACATAACAGCAATTGTGAGGAGGGCTCATGACCAGGCCGTGTTTTGTTCTGTCGTACATAGAGTGCGTCCAGTTTTTTCGTGCTCATCTGTGTCAGAACATAATTAAGAATGCTGTTCATGTCTTCTCTTCCTCAGTAGGCTTCACACACTGACCAACACAAATCTTGCCTAAATTTAAATCACTCATTTTATCATTGCTTCCAGCATGTTTCAAGGCTAAGTAAAGTTTCAGCATTTCCATGTCATTTGCCATTAGAGGCAGCATAGCTTGGGAGTCAAAACAATAGACCTGGATTTGATAGTGTGCTTCCCAGGGTCAAATACTGGCCCCAACATCTACCAGATGTATGATTTTGACATTGGAAGCATCTGGCTCATTAACACATTACTAGGTTTAGATTCCCAAGTGCTCTTTTAACATGTCTTTTAACAGTATTACAATAGAGATTGCCTTCATCATTTTATCCCTTTTGTAGCAAATATATTGGCCAATAAACCGTATTTGCTAGAAAGTTACCCATTGCTCAAGCCAAAGTAATTATCATTACTTGAAGCTTTTAAAGCTGGCCTTTAAATTCAAAGTATTCTCCAATGAGAGAAACGTGAATGATCGGTTTTGGTTTTTTTCCTAGGTGAAGATGCCAGATGTAGAATTTTTTGTTAATTTGGGAGACTGGCCTTTGGAAAAAAAGAAATCCAACTCAAACATCCATCCAATCTTTTCCTGGTGTGGATCCACAGATTCCAAAGATATTGTGATGCCGACCTACGACTTGACTGATTCTGTTCTAGAAACCATGGGCCGGTGAGAGACAGGTTACAGTTGACCCAGAGCATTGGTTTTATTTGGTGAGTCCTTGTCTACCAACATCTGTGATGTGAAAGCTTGGGAGGAAAATCTTTTGCACTTTCTGTCTTCTAGAGTAAGCCTGGATATGATGTCTGTGCAAGCTAACACGGGTCCTCCTTGGGAAAACAAAAACTCCACAGCTGTCTGGAGAGGGAGAGACAGCCGCAAAGAGAGACTGGAGCTGGTTAAGCTCAGTAGAGAACACCCAGAACTCATAGATGCTGCTTTCACCAACTTTTTCTTCTTTAAACACGATGAGAGCCTGTACGGCCCCATTGTGAAACACATTTCATTTTTTGATTTCTTCAAGGTATGACATTATCAGTGGCCAGTCTTTGTTTATTTTTCTAGATACCTTCATTTATGTGTAAATAGCACTTGGGGGGAAGGACATTGAAGCCTATAAATTTCAGGAGTGGACAAAGAAAGCACAAAACTTGGTGACTGTCAAGACATGGCGGGCGCGGGCGCGGGCTGGTTTGGGAACCTGGCAATGTCTTCAGTATCCAGCACTGACATGAAATACACATCGAGGGCCCTGGGTTGGGTCACATTATTTTCCAATTAACTTTCAAGATAAACAAATTTCCACTCCAAATCTTTGGTCATTAATAACTACTTGTAAGTCATTTTATAAATACTTTCCCCTAGAACCAGACAACACAACAGATAAAAGATGATAGAGCAGTGTCTTTTATTAGACCTTCTGATCTTATTTATTTATTAATTTATGTAAGTTGAATAAATTAAAACATAGCCACATTCACTGCCTGGGTGCTCTGTAGAGAAGGGATAGTTTATTGTGCCTAGAATGTGGGTTGCATGTGTTCTAGCGAGTACTCCATTTCCAATAATTTCCTTTTCCAACCAGTCAAAAAACACTGCTGTACTCACTAGACCACTGGGTGGTTTTTGAAGCACCGTATATTGGAGAGGAAGGAGGACAAAAGGAAGTCCCCTGATTCAGTATGTTAGGCCATCAGTGATTAGCAAGCTCTGTGCTGTAGACAGTCAAGTTTTCTTTCGATACATTACATGGCAATCTATGGAACTAAATAAAAGAATTGAGACAGGCCATATCTCCTCACAGATGTGTGATGATTTCTTGGCTTTAGTCCTACCTGTTGAGTTTTCTACTAATACTGGTGGTTGATTACCACAATCCTGTGAATGTTTTTATTTACAGATGTTATTGCATGAAGTATGCTAATTTCTATAAGGCACTCAAGCAGCCATCTGTTGTTTGAAAAAGATGGTTACCATGACACAGTATGTGACATCATTAGGTTCACATGTGCACATAATAAACACCAGAGGAATTACAATGTCAAGAATAACTGTATCTTTCCTTATGTTGTAGCCTTAGAAGAACAGTTTTATTACTTCAGTGTTAAAATTGTTGCCTCCTTTGTGGTATTTAGGGATGAATCTAAATAAGTATTTGGCTTTGGGTCCCCACGTAAACACTAGAACTCACAGCCACAAGGTCAGCAAAATAAGCCAGTTTCTATCTGGGGATGGAGAGGGTGCATATGTGGTAAGGAGAGGAGGCTTAAAAGTGGAATAAAGGATATATACTTGAAGTTCTTCTAACTTACTGCTTTTTTTGTAGCATAAGTATCAAATAAATATTGATGGCACTGTAGCAGCCTATCGCCTGCCATATCTACTGGTCGGTGACAGTGTTGTTCTGAAGCAAGACTCCATCTACTATGAACATTTTTACAATGAGCTACAGCCCTGGAAACACTATATTCCAATTAAAAACAACCTAAGTGATCTCCTAGAAAAACTTAAATGGGCAAAAGATCATGATGAAGAGGTAAGGTCAGTCTCCTTATTTATCATCACGCCTGTTGCCTTCAAGTTCATTCCAATGCATAACAACTCTATCGAACAGAATAGAGCTGCCCCATAAGGTTTCCACGACTTTCTCTCACTGAGAAGCTGCTGGGTTCAAACCTCTGACTTTTCAGTTAACAGCTGAGAGCTTGACCACCGTGCCACCAGGGTGCCTTGTACATACACTGGTACCCCAGAGTTAGCGGTTCATTGTAAAAAAGTCTTGTACTTGGGAAGGGTTCATGATCCTCTGATATAGATTCTTAGTTGAAATTGGGGGACAGCCTTCACATGAAATAAAAATCATATTAACTGTCCTTAGAGTGAACATTGGCATAGAACTTTCTACTCTGAATACGAAGCAAAAATACTAAACCTTGACCTTGAGGTTCTCTCTTGCAGTCAGGTGGTCTGGGTCTTAGGCACTGACTTTAGATGGCCAGTCTTCTTAGAAAAGCAATTAATTGTGCTATAGGTTTTAATAAGGGATTATATTATATTAATCCTTAAAATAAGTGCCTGATGAAATTGTTACGGCAAAAAAATGAAGCATCATTTTGCATTTATGTGTACCTTCTCTTTCCAAGACAGGCTTACTTCTAGATGGTTTTTGATTTAGTTCTGTTCCACTAATACGACTTTTCAAACTTCCCCATCTTCAAAACCTCACTTTGATTTGGACCAAGGTTATGTTAAATGGTGGCATAGTGGATGATATGGGGAGCTGTTAACTGCAGGGTCAGCAGTTCCAATCCAGCTGTTGTTGAGAGAAGCATGAGGATGTCTGCTTCTGTGAAGATTTACAGCCTTGGGAACCTTAGGGAGTAGTTCTTTCCTGTCCTGTAGAATTAAGAGTAGAGATAGATTTGATGGCTATAGGAAACAGAAACACTAGAGGGGGTTTTACAAGGTGGTCACAAGTAATTACAGCATTTCCTGAGGACTGCTGAGGGAATATCTGATGAGCGTCTGGTGTCAAGATGCTAATTTAGGACTGTTCTTTCCATACCTTTATTTAGTACTGGTGGTTGTGGGCAATGCACCAGGCCTGCTAAGCCCAAAGCCAGTAGTTCGAAACTACCAGCCCTCCTGGGCCAAAAGATGGAGGCTATCCTGTAAGGATTTGCAGCCTTGGAAACTCACAAGCACAGCTCTATTCTGCCTTACAGGTTCATAAGTTGGAATCAACTCAAGTTTGGTTTGGGCTTTACCATATAAGAAACCATTTTCCTTATCTATCTATCTACTTATGCTTATGATTAAATAAACAGAATTATTAAATATAGTATATTTTATATGTAAAATTCATTTAGGGTTACCATGAGTCAGAATCAACTTGATGGCAATGGGTTTTTGTTTTATTTTTAATTCATTTACTGTGTCAGTTTGCCTTGCTACCATAACAAATTACCACAAAGTGGGTGACTTAAAACAATATAAGTTTATTCTTTCTCAGTTCTAAACACTAGAAATTCAAATTCATGGTGTCATTAGGATCATACTAGCCCTAAAGACTCTAGGGGAGGTCCCTCCCATTTCTTCCGGCTTCATTATTCCATGTCTCTGCCACCAGTGCTGGCATTCTTCCCCGAATGTCTCTTCTCTTTGTATAAGGACACCAGTCATATTAGATTAGAATGTATACACACTTACTCCAGTACCTCCTCGTGTTAACTAATTATGTCAGCAAATACCCTATTTCCAAATAAGGTCATGTTCACATATATTGAGGGTTAGGACTATTTCATCATATCTTTTTTTGGTGGCTACAATTCAGCCCAGGTCTGTCTGCATGGGAAAAATTTGTTTCATTATAGGGTTTTTCCCCTTACAGGCAAAGAATATAGCAAAAACTGGACAAGAATTTGCAAGAAATAATCTCATGGGTGATGACATATTTTGTTATTATTTCAAACTTTTCCAGGTGAGTATGAGTAAACATATAACTTACAGCTAGACACATCCTCGGGAACAAATCCTACACTTACTTTGTAAGTGTGGTCATATGAGGATATAGAATTCTTCTGTGAGTGAAAACCAGAGGAAAAGCCTAAATAGTAATAAAAATTTTATTATAAGCTAAAGATTAGCTAAGCAAGAAAGCCACAGCATCAGGAAAAATATTAGAAATGTGTGGTATACAGGAGTCATGGTAGTGCAGCGGTTTGAGCATAATCGATAGGTTGCAGTTTGAACCCACTAGCAGCGCCGCAGGAGAAAGATGTGACTATCTGCTTCTATAAAGATGACAGCCTTGGAAATCTTAATGGACAGTTCTACTCTCTCCAAGAGGGTCACTAAGTCGGAATCAACTCAGTGGCTAGAGGGTTTGGGTATATGTGGTATATGAGAAGGCAGGTGATGCCTGATCTTGCAAAGTTACTCTGCATGGATCCATATTTTCTCTGTCCAGCATTGTTCTTGCCTGACCATTGCATTTTCTAAACAGTGCAAGTTCTGTGTGATGTTCTATGCTGAAACCTATGTACCCTGATTTATCTTGAATGCTGTTTTTATGGACCTAACCATGGAGGGATTGTAATCAAAGCATATCTGACCACTTATGAGACTCTGAAATAGAATTCATTAATAACCAAGTAATTTTCTAAGGATAGCACCAGATCTAAATTAAGATTTTATCTCATATTGCAGATATTGAAATCCATGGCTTAGGCAACTACTATAGAACAAATGTGCTTTATTTAGTAGTAGTATTATCTATATTGAGCTCACCATATTGTAGCCTTCTCTAGGAGCTTTGGTGGTATGGTGGTTATGCATTGGGTTGCTAACCACAAGGTCAGCAGTTTGAAATCGCCAGCCACTCTACAGGAGAAAAACGAAGCTTCCTCCTCTGATAAAGTTACATTTCCGCCATGACCTATAAAGCTGCAGTTGACTTGGTGGTAGTGAGAGCGTGAACAAGGGGATAATAACATGGGGGAAGCATGAGCTATCTGCTCCCAGAAAGATTTAGTCTCAGAAACACAAAGGGACAGTTCTTCTATGTCCTACAGGGTCTCTCACTATGAGCCAAAAGGGTTTCAATGGCAGTGGGTCTTAAGGCATAGAAAGTGAACTGTGTCAACTGAATGAACTGAGAAATCACTACCTGAATATCTAAAGATCCACAAGATAGCGTTCATTCGTTAAGCTAATATTTACTTGAACCTAAGTAGCATGTTGTCTAACATAAAGGAAGCACACAATAAATGAAGATGGTGATTAATATTTGTGTAAGCCGTGGTAGAGAGTAAGGGAGAAGTAGTCTTGCATGCAGCTCATAGGAAAGATCACAATGATTATGTACACAATTATTTTCATTTTAAGACAGAAAGTGGCAAAACACCCAAGGGTCATATAAATCAAGAAGAAATGGGGGTTGTGTTAGGAATAGGCAGCAGGGGTTCAGTGGTGAGCTGTCTCTCCGAAGCTCTGTATTTAAAGTTGAGTGGGTAGTGTTACGTACCACACATTTGACACATGTATGTTAACCGAGCTACATGCTAGCAATTTTCAGTGTTTTTAATTCAGTATATACTTAAATCATTGAATTGGGAATACTTTGGTATTGTTCACACAGGAGTATGCTAATTTACAAGTGAGTGAGCCCAAAATCCGAGAGGGCATGGAAAGGGTAGAACCCCAGACTGAAGATGACCTCTTTCCCTGTACGTGCCATCGAAAAAAGGTAACTAGATCTGCCTTCAAGTTCACGTCAAAGTAAGAGCAAGCTTTGATCAAAAAGCATATTCATTCACATCATCATTCAATCAGTCAAGAAATGTCTGAGTTCCTCCTGGGGCTTCCAAGGAATTCAGTCTACCTGAGAGGCCAGGGCCACAGCTAATAATAATGTAAAAGAAAGGATGATAAAATGAAGTTAAGTAAAAGCTGTAGAAAGCCTTTGTTAATTTGAGAATGCAGATCACATGTTTTCCTATGTACCAGCTGATATCCTCATTGCTCTGCAAATTCCATTATCCCAAATTCAAGGTAAATAAATGCATGCCTATGTTTACTCCTTTTATCAGAATTACTCCTGTAAAATAAATTATTATTGATGCCATTATATTATAGCTTCATTTAGAAAAGTAGGATTCATATATGCACTTGGAAGGCTAAAAGGGACTTAAGAGAACATCTTATAAATGTCTTCATTTTACACTGAGCCCACAGAAACAATTAGCTCAAAATTCCCTATTTGGATTTTGGCAAAACAACAATTGAAAACTAGTCTGTTGCCATCAGATCTTGTGCATATTTGTATATAAAAACATCATGAAGCAAGGTAGGGTTCTTTCAGTGGTAGTTGCTCTTTGTTTGAAGGAGCATACATATAAAGACACAGAGAAGAGAGAGAGAGAGAGCCCTGCTGGCACAGTGGTTACACACTCATCTGCTAACTAGATTGTCACTGCTTTGGAGAAAGCGGTGGGAGTCTGCTTCTGTACAGATGACAATCTTGGAAACCCTATGAGGTACTTCTGCTCTGTGCTACAAGGTTGCCATGGCTCAGAATTGCTTCAACAGCAGTGGGCTTGGATTTGGTATATAAGTATGTGCATCTGGCTTGACATTATTTTAAGCAACATCATCATATTTCTAAGTGGAAAAATTCAAAATTGTGGTAGCATAGCCAAAGATAAGAAAGCTAATTTGGCAATTATATCTTTCTCTGACGGGAGCTTAAAGGGAGTAAAATGACCACTAGCCTCAGCAATGTGATGGAGCCAGCTAGCACATGCTCACAGAGTTAAATATTCAAGTATTTTGCCCAGTAGTTAAGCATTTTGTAGCCTAGAGTCATCCCAGTGGAAATATTTACGCCATGACTACCAGCAGGGTTACAAATCAGGATGGAATATGTGTGGGTGTGGATGTGTTAGTGCTTGTGCTTGGAAAGCAAGCTAGTAAGCTAGTTAGCTAACTCTCAGAAATGGTATCCCTATCAATGCTGTGGGACCATCAAATCCATTAAAGCAAGTAACAAAATAGGAATTACCAAAATTGAAAGATACTTCCTCACCAAGTTAGTGACTTGGTATCAGAACATCGGTGTCGGTTGCAAGAAAACTGGACAGTTCTTTTCTCATTTTAATCTTCGACTAAGTGATTTTGAGGAGGTGCAAAATCAGAGTTTCTTACACTGATTAAAAAAAAGGTATTAGGGGCCAGAATGATAGCTTTGTTTATTTCTTACTCACTGTCTACTCTTTCACTGTTACTATTGATAACACAAAGCTTCTGACAATTATATAGATCCTTAGATGTTTAAGTGTCCCATCAGCACTAGAAACACAAATATGGTTTCATCTATCCAATTCTTTAGAAATAGCCCTAAATTATAAAAGCTTCTAACATAACAGCTTTTTCCTTATACCACCTACAGAGAAAAATAATGAATAAACTAATGTAGAAATCATTTAAGAATTTTTTTAAATAAATCATTTTATTGGGTGCTCGTACAACTCTTATCACAATCCATACATCCATTGTGTCAAGCACATCTGTACATTTGTTACCATCATTCTCAAAACATTTTCTACTTGAGGCCTTGGTATCAGCTCATCCCCCCCCCCCCACAAACCCTTAATAATTTATAAATTATTATTATTTTTCCATGTCTTACACTGTCCGATGTCTCCCTTCACCCACATTTCTGTTGTCTGTCCTCCAGGGAGGGGGTTATATGTAGATTGTTGTGATCGGTTCCCCTTTCCTCCCCCACCTTACCCTTACCCTCCTGGTATCTCTGCTGTCATTATTGGTCCTGATTCCCTGTGTTTCCAGCTCTGTACCAGTGTACATCCTCTGGTCTAGCCAGATTTGTAAGGTAGAATTGGGATCATGACAGTGGTGGGGAGGAAGCGTTGAAGAACTAGAGGAAAGTTGTATGTTTCATTGGTGCTATACTGCACCCTGACACTGTTTAAGAATTTTTGATGCCCCTAACTTTTTTTTCCTTCTCAACTGCAGACCAAAGACGAACTCTAATACGGAAAATGCTTTCTATTCAAACAATGGTGCTCTGAAGACTTCTTATGAGAAAAAAGAATGTTTTTAAAATATTCAACAAATATGAAATATGTTTGTTCAGATTTTAAAGTGATGTATCTTATGCAGTATTCCTATGACTATTCTTAAAGCAAACATTTAGAATTTTATAATAAAACCATCTTTATGTTAAAGGACTACGTTCGGTTCATTATTAACTGTGTTTGACCATAACCCATTGCATTTGATTTGATTCCAATGCCTAGTGACAGTGTTGGCTAGGGTAGAACTGCCCCTTAGGGTTTCCAACCTTGTAAAGGTTTATGGAAGTAGACTGCCACATCTTTCTTGGGTAGAGTAGCTGATGGTTTTGAATCGCCAACCTTTCAGATAGCAGCCAAGTGCTCAATGACTTTGCCACCAAGACTCCTGTTTGAACAGTAGAGCAGTAAAAAGTGGCAATGGGGCTATGTATTGAGCTGTTGACTGCATAGTCAGCGGTTCAAGCTCAACAGCCACTCAAAGGTGAAATGATGAGGCTGTCTGCCCTGTTAAGATTTAAAATCTCAGAAACCCAAGGGGGCAGTTCTACACTGTCCTAACTGGGTCATTAAGACTGGAATGAAGTCAGTGGCAGTGAGTTTTAACTATGAGCACCATGGAAGCTTCAGGCCACCTCCCTAGACTTGGCTTACAAGATAAAGCCATTATTTTGCTTCCTTTGTTGTAGTTGCCACCCAGTGCCAACTTCATGATTGTTTACAACACTCATTTGGGGTATCCAGTCATCTACACCCAAACCTGATTCTAACTAACTATATCAGGCCTTTCATAATCTGACCTCAGCCTACATCTTTAGTCACTCTCACTGTTTCCTATAGCTCAGTGGAAGTAATCGTACAGTTCTTTAAATGTTTTGTTTCCTTACATTGTATGTGCTTTTCCCATGGTCTGGGATATCATGTCCCTCTCTTCGTCAGCTTGTTCAAACATCCTGCAAATATTCCTTAAAAGAAATGATCTTAGGTTTTTCCTCTGCATACCTGTGGCCTTGTATAAACCAGGCTATGTGGCAACCATAGATTTGGTCGTCTTCTTAGTCTCCTGATTTTACTGACTTGACTGCCGGGACCATGTTTACCTTCTATATAGTACTTGTTTCATTTGTTCTAGTGCCTAGAACTACTAAGAGTTCAATAAATATTGGATGAGTGAACAGCAGAATGAAAATCAGGAATCCTAACTGAGCTATAATGTAATCTCCTTCAAATTCCTTTGAGGCATTAGGAGTTCAGTGGTAGAATTTTTAACCTCCCATATCAGAGGTTTGATTTCTACCCAATGCTCCGCACATCTAACAACCCTCTGCTAGGGGGAGATTTCACGTTGCTGTGATGCTGAACAGGCTTCATCAGGACTTCTAAACTGAAACAAGAAAGAGGTCTTTGTGGCAATTAACAAATTTCTTTATAGAATAGTTCTCCCTTCCATCCCACCTTCTAGTTAAATTGGAGTTTCACTAGATAATATTGACTGATTTTCTAAATGTATGGTCCCAAAGTCACTTCCTTCAGAGCTATAAAAAGATAATCTGGTTGCTTTACTTCCTTGAAATTTGGTATTAGAAGAATTTTTAAATTTTACCAATCTGATATGAAATGATAACATAATTCTGCTATATAATTAATAATAAAGCTTTCCATATTTTAAAAGGGCAATGTGCTGTGTTTCATTTTTAATTATATAACTTTCATTTTTCTACTACGTTTGATTGTTTCATAGAATTCTTCAATGTATTTTAGAACGATACTTTGTTGGTTGCATATAGTACAAGCCCTTCTTGTTTTTTTGACAAGGTTAGATCAATTGTCATCTTTTAATGTTCAAAAGATCATGATCTCTCCCTTTTCTTCTTCGGCACTGCCTACGGAGGAGGCAGCCATCTCCCACCGGCATCATGGATGCCCTCAGACCCTTAGTGAAGCCTAAAATTGTCAAAAAGAGAACCAAGAAGTTGATCCGGCACCAATCCGACCACTATGTCAAGATTAAGTGCAACTGGTGCAAGCCCAGAGGTATTGACAACAGAGAAGATTCAAGGGCCAGATCAAGTTCCTGGTCCACAACATAAAGGAGCTGGAAGTGTTGCTAATGTGCAACAAATCTTACCGTGCAGAGATTGCTCACAACGTTTCCTCCAAGAATCACAAAGCCATTGTAGAAAGAGCAGCCCAGCTGGCCATCAGAGTCACCAATCCCAACGCCAAGCTACGCAGCGAAGAAAATGAGTAGATGGCCCATTTGAGGATTTTATTTGTGCTAAATAAAACCATAAATTTTAAAAAGATCATGATCTTAATCTAAAGGAATTTATCAATATTTTCTTACAGATTTTTTGCCTTTGGAGTCTTATTTAAGAAATCCTTCTATATTCAAGGTCACTAAAACAGTCTTCTATAGTCCAAAAACATTTCTGTTAAAATTGGAAGCAACATACAGAAGTATGTCATCATAGGAATATTGTAAAGGAGATTTATGCTAATAGTAAATCTAGAGAAAGAAATAAAGCATAGACGTATAGAAGATAATAAAAATTGTCATTAAAAGCAGATAATATGTTTCAGGACACAGAAATCTTCTGAACTACCAACTGAAAGATTGCTAGTTCAAATCCAACAGAGGTTCTTCAGAAGTAAGTCCTGGCAATCTACTACCTCCCAAAATCAGACATTGGAACCCTGTTCTCTAAAATAGATGGCATTACCATGAGTGAATATACTTCGTGGCAACTGGATATACAAAAAGTCTGAATCTATCTATAAATAATTAAAATTCACAGAAAAATCAGCAAGATTGCTAGTTATAACATGAATTTTATAAACTTATTGTATTAATATTAATATATAATAAATATATAACACATATCCACAATACCAAACAGAAAAGGAAATGTGTTATCATTTACAATCGCTTAATAAACTATAAAGTACTCATCTGAAGAACAAAATCTAACACAAATGGACAAGGTCTTTAAAGGGACAATTGCGATGTCTTTGAGAGAGACTAAAGGAAGCTATATAATTGAAAGACACTACAGGTTCATGGCTTGGCAAGATCATTGGTTTTTAAATGTCCCTTACCTCCTAGCAAGATTTACAGATACAATGTAATCCCCAACCATATGCACACCCCACCCCTTTTTTAGCAGAATGTTACAAGCTTCTTAAAAAACAAAAACTATAAGCCAGCAAAGTACCAAGAATAAACACTCTTGAAGCAGGATTAAGTCGGGAGGTTTTTCCTCACTATATTAGTATAGCATGACTTTTTATACAAGTACAGTATTTATTTGATATGGGATAGGGATACAAAAAACAGAACAATGTTGGAAGAGTATTACATTAAGATAACCCCCCAAAAGATTATTTGTAAAAAGTCACGAGCCTGTCCCTGTATTTATGCTATAAATGTCAACAGCCAACTAATTGTTATTTCCTTCACTTTGTGGCTCTGGCAGAGCATTAGAAGTTATGAACAGAAACGGCAACTCTAAAAGTTTTGGGAACAAGTACTTTTCAGTATACAGTTCTTTCTTTTCACCCTAAACATGCTAGGTCAGTTCACGACAGTGGCACTACCGGGAAGTTCCATGTATGTCAAATGCCACCTTACTACAGAGCTACAACTCACTGCCAACCAGTCGCCTGCGCAGCACCGGACAGGGACAGGTGCGCGGTGGATGCCCATGACCGTGACTCTTGCAGAGCAGTTTAGCAACCCAACGGGTAACCTACACCACCAGGGCTTTTAACAGAGGAAATTCCTCCACTGAATATTGTTGTTTGTGGTAAAAATAAAAGTTAGTGCTGACAGAACAGAATGCGTAGCATATATTAACAAGACTAGGCGGTCCGGGTTCCCAGTTCTTGACCCCGTGGGAATTGGCGGGAAGCGCGCGCGCGCCCGCCGGAGACGGATTAGAAAACTCTCGTTCCCAGCATGCCCCGCGGCCCCATTCGCGCGCCTGAGGGCGGGGTAGGGGCGCGCGTGCGCCGTGGCGGAACGCGCTGGCCGGTGAGGCGAGGCGGTCACTTCGAGCTGGGTAATTTGCTCCCTGAAGTGAGCGAGGGCGGGTAGGTGCGTCCGGTTACCTGTCCCTTCCCGGGTAAGTGCGGCGGCGGCGGTTGAGGCAGCCCGGTCGGAGAACGACTTTCTGAGGGAATGGTGGCGCATCTGCCGTTCAGCGCCCGGAGGCGTTTCGGGCTTGGGTTCCTTGCCCCAGGGGCAGTTTGTCCGGATGCTGGTAGCGCGGGGTCAGTTTGGTGCCCGGGTCTTTGCGATTTAGGAGGGCGCGGTGTGGGGAGGATTTCAACGCAAACGGTACGGGCGCTGCCTAAATCCCCGTATCCAGTTACCTCCCGTTGGGGAGGTTCGATCTCGGGCCGCCTGGGACGACCCTGCACAGCCCCGGCTCGCACGCGTTTGTTTAATGAATGGGAGCGGGACTAAGGAAGACTCGCAAACTCATTTCATCCTTTCAAAATTTTACTTTTAATGCGTGTTATTTACCCGACCAGATGATACACTCCCGAGAAGACGCGAACTGTTTTATGTTTTATTATATGTATGTCCCAGGACATTCGACGTAGTGGTGTTTTACATATAGTAGATGGTGCACACGAATTTTTAATCGAAGGTTCATGTGGATGTGCCATTTTGATTTTGTAGTGTAAGACGTGATCGCTTATTCTGTCCTGAGTATTAAAATGCATAATAAAAATAACTGAATGCGCCCAATGTGTTGACACTGCTTTACATACGACATATACACACACCTACATGTATCACGTATAACAGTATCTGTTTAAGGTTAATGTTATTATCTCCATTTATAGTTAAAAACATTTAGACTTCCAGGTTCATGCAAATGAAAGCCAGAGATTATAACCCAGATCATTTAGATCAGACTGCTTTGAAATTGTATAATGGGACGATTTCGGATGTTCAGATGTTCGTTTTCTGATGTGAAAACCTCATACCACCTTTGAAGAGCCAGCTAGTTATCATGAACTCTAAAGGGGTGTGGTTTTCTTGAAGGGGCGTGGGGGGCGGGGATCAAAACCCATGCTGTTTCAGAGTGGAAGAGTATGATTGTAAGTTAAAATAGTGCATTGAATAAACTCAAAACCTCAGCAGT